TCATTGCATTTACATTAAAAATTATACAAAAATCGAGATAGGCCAAATTCCTCAGAAATACTACAAACAATGTTGCTCTCGACCGTACGGTTAAGTTATAGTGAAATAAAATAATAATAATAAAAAAATATAATAATAATATTTAATATAATATATAATATATATAATATATATTATATATATATTATTATTATATATAATATTATATATATATATATATATATATATATATATAATAATATAATAATAATAATAATAAAATAATAGCAATATCAAATAATGAATTATTTAAGATATAAAAGATGTTATTTTAAGAAATCTTTAAGCCAAGCTTTGCTTCAAGCGAAGCTGTTTATTTAAAAAGTTTACGAACCAAGAGATTTTCGTCTGGATCCATCTAATATTCTCTGAAAAATGTTTCTTATTATTACCATTTTATAATTACCATTTTATCTTGCAGATATTTCATTGAGAATGTTCATATTGATAAAGCTGATAGGTAAACTCAGGGGCTGATAATTACATCGTCATATAATTTCCAAGCTGGATCTCGCAAATATCAAATAATAATTCCAGACAATCACAAAACCAAATAACATATTATTTGAAACAATATTTCAAACAATGCCACTTCAAACACGCCCAGCACTGATACCGTGGCATAACAAATATTGGAAACCGACGACGTACATTAAACAGTCGATTATCACTGAACCGCGGATCTTTACGTAAAATAAAAATTGTCTGCATTGTCTGCAAGCTACAGACATTTATTTCTTTTTCAAATAAGCTTAATGAGTTGAACATGAATACAATAGCATCTCTAATTGTGTTTGGAAATATTTTCACTGCTTTCTAAAATCCGCAGTCTAATTATCACAAACACTGTCTTTCCCTCCAATAATTTTAATAAGTCGAACATAGTGTGTCGAAATTTTGCAATTCTTCTGATATGCCTTCTCACTCTTGTGTCTCTCATCTATTCATTTGTTATTAAAAATATAGTTATATAGTTATAAGTTGTGCACTATAAAATATAGTTATAAGTTGTGCACTTGTGACAATAATGCGCGTATTATGAAAACGTTCTCCCCTCTTATTCATGAATCTGTTCCGAGATCTTTCGAACGAAAAGCACAATAAAACAATTAAAAGGGACACCGTCGTATTATTTTTAACCGACCAGGAAATTAAGTTAAGGGACGAAATGAAACGTGTACGCGACCCTCCTGCGAATACAGTTCGAATCCACGAATATACGTGTGACAAACGAGTTTCGTTGGCGGTGCTTTTCGCGTTAAGCTACGAATGGACAGACAACGACGACGCGACGGCAGACAGACCGCTTCCTACAGAAACATGTTTGACCGCATAAAAAAGTCCGCGTTTTTATTTTCCTCGTCCACGATTAACCGACCGACACAGTCTCTACTTTCAGTTGAATATCGAAGAAGGAGGCTGCGACAACGACCGACACGGGGAAGATGGACACGGTGAAACCTGGCTGGTTCAGTGAAATCAATGATCTGTGGCCAGGTGTCTCGTTGTCCCTCGAGGTTGTCAAAATACTGTACCGGGAGCGGTCGCCGTACCAAGACGTAATGGTGCTCGAAACGTAAATATTGATTGTCAACCTCGTCCTCCTCGTTTCAAACTAATGGAACACGTTCCTCGAACACGAGACAGCGAAGAAGCCTCGAGGCTTACCGGGAAAACGTTTCGCAAGTTAAACCGTACCGCGATCGAACGCGTTCGCTGTCATCGTATCTCTCTGTGATTTTTTACGTGTGATTCATGGTGACACGCGCTGTGACAGTATCGTGAGACGTTAATGACAAAACGAGCATGATTACGCAGCATGATTAAACATAATTAATGCAACAACACGATGGAAACGATAAATAATGATACATTGAACGTCGACGAATAAAGAATAGAGAATATAAATAGTATTTATATAATAGAATATAAATTATATTATATAATAATAGAATTTATATTATATAATAATAGAAATTTATATTATATAAATTTTTATATTATATAATATTTATATTATATATTATATATATTATATATAATATATTTATATTCTTATTTATATTCTATTATTATATAATATATATATATATATTATTATATTTATATATATATATTTATATATATATTTATATTTATATATATATTTATATATATA